GTTATAATCTTGAATTCTAAAAAAAAAAAAAAAACTGCAATGAGATTGGTATTTACGTTTATAACAATAGAGTAACAACACTCATCCCATTTAATAACACTCTCATTATTTTTGTCGTTTTGTCGTTATAAATAATCGCATCGTAATAGTGAGGAAATGGAAGAAAATGGAAAAGTGGCCGGCGTCAATAGATCGCGAATTTGACGCCGAGAATTTTTCCCGACTGATTTGGCAGCCGTCCCACTTTTCACCAGAGTCCGATGCGTAGTAGAAGGCCGGAATCCAATATAAACCGTGTCGTTTCAGATTTTGTTACAAAGCTATGTGGCACGCGCGCGTAAACTTTTACTTTGCTCAAGTGGCATGATTTTGCATCTAATCTCGTAAAAAATCAAAATATTCTTGAGTTGCACGTAAATGATTTGCGATATGTAAAATAATGTAATGATTGTAGAATAATACAAGAGAATATTCATTCGCGCGATATCTCGTTGACTTTTTGATATCACACAAAAGTGGTACACAGCGATAGATACTCGGTTAATGTACATACGCGACAAAGTGAGACTAAATAAAAATTCTTAGTTTCAACAGCGATATAGACGCGACTTTTCATTAAACTATACAACAAAAATAATGCCGTTTTTCGATATATCAAATGTGACGAATAAAATTCATCGAGAACACGACAATGTATTATATCATGTAAAAAACATTCGAATATAAGAACGAATCAAAGAACCGCACTGAAATCTAAACAACTCGTTGACGAAGAAATGAAAGATCGTTGTTTATGTAAATCTAGAACAGATTGTACATATATGCATAATGCATACGGTACTCGTTGCGCAACCGTAACTTTTGCGGCAAATTATATGCTTTACCGCATACTCGTCAGTACGAGTGTTTCCAACAACGGTATAGAATCGATAATACCATTACATAACCGTATAAAGAATAATCGAATCAAAATGATGTAATCAATTTCACGATATAAACTCGTTAAAATACGTGTCTTCGGTTAATACTGTTACATGCATGTATATGTATACATATATGATACGATATTAATTAGATTCTAGTTTTGTGATTTCGAAGGTCGAAACTTTTTTAATCTTTTTACGATAACGGTTCGCCTTGACCTACACAGATTTATTTTTCGCCAATATCTATTATGTCTATTTAATAATATATATGGCGTTTTAACGGAAAAGTAAACGAGCAAAGGTTTATTTATTTATATCGATCGCGATAAATACTCTCAAAGATTTTTTGAACTAATTACGATAATAATTATAGAATCGAGATAATGTCCCCGACATTAGCGACGTGAGACGATTTACGTTCGTATATAACGTGTATCTCATTATTAATATTAGATAGACTCTATTCTCAGATAAATACGTTATTTTTCTTCGTGTAAATTATATTTATATCATTTAACATAATATATAATACCAGAGCATTAACGTATTAATTAATATGTAGGGAATGACGTCCGCGCGAGCAAATTCTGCAGAGACAGATTACGATTTGATTAAGTTGTACAAGACGTAACACGTGAATTATGACATAACGCGTTAATTTCTTTGCTCGGCATGTCGTTAATTAGTTTGACAGCAATTTATCTCCGGCTGCGTTCGTTTATTTAACCGCCATTTAACCGTGTAAGGTTAAAAAAGTAGCACAGGCACCATTCGTAATTAGTGTACATACGTATTTAGTCTCGCTTCTTCAAGGATCATCTCAAGTGCATACAAATGTCAAATAAAAATATGAATTAAAAATTATCGTATCGTATCGTATCGGCATGGAATATCGTTCAGGATTCAACGTTTCCGTTTTTCTGTAAAAAGAAAAGGAAATTAATTATTCAAGAACGATAATTCACATGTACTAAAGACGATATACGATTTGCGTATACAGGATAGATATCGGTATATATACCGATGACCTTAAGGTTTCATCGAATATGTTATGGAGAAGCGACTGATCGATACCCCATCTTCCGTCAAAGCCAAAGATACGAATGTAATGGAAAATAAATAATAGCAAAATATTGTCGCCCGCGTATATACGTTGCGCGTAAACATGAGAACGTTTATATAACTTATTTTTATCTTTTTTCACGGAACATTGCAACGAGGATGTAATGCGCATTGTTGATGCATCGATGTCTCAAAATCACAAGATGGATTAAAATTATAAAAAATAGCTCTATCGCAAAATCTTGTAAACTACAATTAAAGTCAACACGCCCGACAGTTTACAATATTTTTGCAAATATATATCTTTACCTTCTTTTCGTGCGATCTCTCGGAAGGATATATAATACAGCATGTAAAACTATACACTATTACAAAGGTTCGAAAATTGTATCGTCGAGCCGATAAGTTATATATGAAGTGAGTCGCATTGCAAGATTAGCATACAATACTTTTGCATCGTAACGAGAAAAATCGCGCCTCGTCATCTTGGAGCAAATCAGATGCTTCAAGATACACGACATAAAACCATATACTATTGTATGATTATCGTGAAAAATAAATATCACGATGAAAAGCGCAAGTATTCGTGTGATAGCGGGTATTTTGCTCCAACACGAATATTAAATTAAATTGATTTTTATTCAAGACGTGTTACACTGGTATTAGTTGCAATTCAAAGTTTTTCGATATTATTCAAATTTTCCAACTTTTGTTCCGCACTCGACATATTTCAACGATTAATAGGAGTTCTTTAATAAGGGTTCTTTAATTTGTTTTTTAATTCGACGAATTAATACGCAAACGATAAATTGCAATTAAACGAAAGCCGATTCGTTTCAAGAGTGAACATTTGCTACACACACACACACACACACAAATATACACACATACATTGATTCCTCTACACACACACACACACACACACACACACACACACACACACACACACACACACACACACACACACACACACACACACACACACACACACACACACACACACACACACACACACACACACACACACACACACACACACACACACACACACACACACACACACACACACACACACACACACACACACACACACACACACACACACACACACACACACACACACACACACACACACACACACACACACACACACACACACACACACACACACACACACACACACACACACACACAAATATACACACATACATTGATTCCTCTTTCCTCTCGTTTCAGACGGCACTCGCAAAGGGAGGAGTTGCGCGTCCACGAATATTTTTATAGAACGCATCGACGGCTGGATAACCTAACCATCGTTAGATGCGAGCCAAATTTACGATGGCAAAACGTGTCGCTCTCGTTCTTCGATATTTCATCGTAACATAAATGTGCTAATTACACATTACAAATACATGGTCAAAGAATCGTCTTGTTGTAGATGTGTCCTGCCAAAGCGCGAGACGCTAGACGCTTATGCGGCAAAAGTCAACCAGTAAGAGAGAGAGAGAGAGAGAGAGAGCGAGAGATGGTGGGTGGATGGGCGAGAAAGGGGGAGAGGAAGAGAAAGAAAAGGTCGATGGAAATACTCACGGTGACGAGAAACAACGATGAAGTACAGGAATGGGCGCGCAGCCGAAAAGAGCCGAAAATACGAAAAAAGACTCGCGGAAAGACTGGCTGACTGGCCTGTCCGTGGATTATCGAAACTCACCACCCGTGACCGTGACACTTGGCAATCGCTTCCCTCATTTCGCTCGTGTCGCGAGTCGCGATTTCTTTCTTCGGGGGAAAAAAAATATCGGGCAGACTACAGAGTCGCGGGTTTGCGCGATTCGAGGACGCGAATTGAGCAGCGAAACTAGCTCATCGGGCCATCCCGACGATGACGTCACCGGGAACGTATGGTCCGAATCCGAATTCCAACGGGCGCAACGGTATACGGTATATCCGATCGGGTCGGTAAAGTGAGAAGTTAGCCGTAATCAGCGTAACACGCGGCCAACTATATTGAGAGAGAGAGAGAGAGAGAGAGAGAGAGAGAGAAACGCGATCGATTCGCGTTTTAATTGGTTTTAACGCGTTTTCATCGCGTACTTGACATATATACGCTCGCGTGTGTGCGCGCACGTAATAACCCAACGCCTCTCTCTCTAAATGCGAGTTGAATACCGTCAATTTCAGTCGTTTCGCGATTCATCGGTATTTACCTTTCGTCAACGCGTTCTCCCTCAGTCCACTCGACACTCGCCGTATCGCGATATTATCGGCACTGGTACGCCAACGCCAACAACGTGCGCGCGAACAATATGGCGATACAAGGTTGCCGATTTCCGCGTTGACGGTCATCGCATCCTTTGCGGCGCGACGGCAGCAGCGGCGGCGGCGGCGGCGGTGGCGACGGGGACAGACGGAGACCGGAGACGGCGACGACGACGCCGACGCCGACGGCAGTAGCGACGATGACGACGACCGCGTACTGCGCTAGCGCGCGAGAAAATACGTCCAAGTCCAACGCGCAGACGCGCACCTGCGCACCGCGCTGCCTCGGAAATCGGAAGCTGCGAGCTGTCGCAAATTGTTTCACATGGCGCTCGCGATTCACCCGCCAAAATTTTCATCGTTCAAAATTCAAAATATAAAGATGTCGCGTATCTCATCATTTGTAAACCAAAGGATGATGTTAAGACCATTGCACATTGCACGTGAAAAAATTTTAAGTAACCGTAAGACTGTAAGCAAATCAACCAATCATAGTTAAACATTCTTATTACGTTTAGAATGCTTAATTGTGATTGATCGATTTGCTTATAGTTATCATGCGATTACGACTATAAACTTTTTCACCTGCAATGGCCTTTATGCCCGTATCAGACTACGCATTGAAAATTGCATGTCGCCAGTCGCAAGCAAATCGACCAATCACAGTCGAATATTCGACGGAATAATCGACTGTGATTGGTCGATTTGCTTTCGACTGGCGACATGCGATCAATGTAGAACGGGCTTTACATACCGAACGGAAGGTATGGAAGATGGAACGATGAAAGAGGAAGAGCAGTATGGAGCGGACGTGACGAAAACAAAAAGGTTATAGTAAAGATGTGTAGTAATGCGACGTTTATTGTGTTTGCGTTGTTTCTAACATTATTTTGTGACACTACGTCGTCAGAATGCACGCAAATGGCTCCCTGTATCTGTACGCTACCGGACGGCCACTATTACAATTTGACCGGCCTCGCTAATGAATTGTTTGTATATTTCCAGCTATTAACCTCTATATAATTTTTCTCTTTATTTCTGCGATATAAGTACAATAGATCCAAGGACACACAAAAGAAGGAGCTAATTAAATAAGTACGGATAAATTGGCGCATTTTAAATATTGCATTAAAATAATGTAGATTTTTCATCTTTAAACCAATATAAAATTTATATTCATGTAGCTATATAATATAAATATTTGATATTTTAATGATTAAGCTATATATGCAATGACATTTTTTTATGGTGATACATTTTTTGGAGGGAGAAAAATATGAGGATATAGTAAGATACTTTTATTGAATATGGATTAGTCCACAAAATGTTATTTAACAAATTTTATTTATGAACTTGTATTAAAAATATTTCAAACATTAATAATTTTGTACTTATTTTGTGTTTTGTTTTTCAAGTACATACAATATTATTCCAGAAATCTATTTGCCAAGACATGCCTGGTATTTGTTAAGTAATAATTATATTATCGAATGTTAATTAATTGACATATATTTTCAGATTATTGAATGATACTCAAGGTGATTATACAGTATATTTTCATCCATGCACAAATGTTCAAATAATGACAGAAAGCGGTGAAAAATGTGACAATGGAAATAATGTATCGGTAAGATTCAAAATACAATCTTGTAATGATTTAAATCTTACAGTATATATATCATTGGTTGTGTCTATTTGCCGTAATTATTATGCTTGTGTATTATAAAATACTCTTGCAATTTTCAGTTAAAAAATATATGGTAATATATAGACTTTTATTTCTGATATTGTGACTTACTATATTGTGACTTTAGATTTTAATATATTTATTGATTGCAGAGTGCTTTTATTGATATGCAATAATTAATTTCTTTATAATTGAGGCTCTTAACCTCTCATTGAATTATAGCAATAGCCCTTGTTAAATTATGACATTGTAAAAGAAAAATCATGTGAATTCTTTTCTCTTGCATTGTACATTAAATTAAATTAATTATTTTGATGTATAAATAACTTTATTCATATGCCAGCATTATTCATGTTTAATACTATAGATTGGTAAAATATACCAAAACCTTTCTTATCATTAATAGATTAGGTAGCAGCTATACATCTTGATCAATTATCATAAGATACGTACATTTTTGCTAAAAATGGGAATATGTGCAGATTAAATTCTATGTGTTTAAGTATCAATGCAAAATAATAAGGAAAAGTTTTTGATAGTACACAAATATATATATACATATATACTATAAAATACAAAAAAATTAATTTATTTCAATGTATAATATATAAAAAACAAATTCATCAAATTTTTCACTTTTTCGTTCCATGACTGCAGAAAACAATAAAAACCTTAATGATAATAATCCAAGTCTTAGCTTATACAAATTTTATTCAAGTTTTCTGGCTAAAATATGGTTAATTAGTTTTTGATAGAAAAGTGAATTAGATAGAAAATATGAAATATTACATTCTTATAGATATGCATGTTTAATAAGTATACAAACTTGACATCTAATCTTGGAACAATAAAGGAAACAAAAATGAAAATGTCGAGTGGAAATAAATTTCCGATTTTTGAAATACATCATGATAAGTTTATATCAGTGATAAATATTGTATGCTTTACCGATAGCAAAACAAATTTCAAGATAGATTCTGGGATTCCTCCCTCTGGCTCTTATGAATACGTAAGCATAGAAATAGCGATAAAATACTGTGATCTGTTTAATGATTATAAAATATGTATGCCATTTACATGTGTGATAATGTTTATAGCATTTTTTGCTAGTATCACCGTATGGATGTAAAATAGAACCGCTCAAAGGATTATCTGTTGGTTCCATATTAGTTATCCTCTTCTTTACCGTTGTTGGAACATATTTTATTGGCGGTATTATAACATTGAGAATATTGAGAGGAGCGACAGGCTGGGAAATGTTGCCAAATCATGACTTTTGGTCTAAGCTTCCTCTACTAGTCAGAGTAAGTGGAATCATTGTCATATTCCTGATAAGATAGCAATCACTGCTATTTTATTTAATCAAAGAGATTATCTTTTTGTAATTTTCTGCAGGATGGCATTGTCTTCACCTTTAATTGTTGTCGAGCGGATAGTTACGAAAGAATATAATTATTTACTTATTTTTATGAAATAATCTCTGTTTAATATTTATGAATTGTGCGACTTTGCAATTCAGTATATTATAAGTAGCGCATTTGTATTCGGAATATTTTTAGTCATATTTGGTATTATGTTTTTGTTATTTAACATTTGTTATTTGACTGTTCATGTATAACAGTTAAGCGCATAGTTGTATTAATTTGAAGAATTGCCTGCATTCAATTATTATTAATTTTGTTTTACATATGCTTTTGTTAGCACCAAAATATGTTGAAACACAAAGTGTATATACACCCAAAAATGTGATATTATAAGCTATTGCTATATCACATGCCAATGTTATTTTTTTAAATCCTTAGATATTTTTATTTAATTTGATGCAAAAACAATTTATATATAATTATTATTGCAAGCTGCACAATGAACTAAAAATCTGATTGCAAGAAAATACGATTACACGTCAAAGAATATTTCCATCTTTTTGAATCAGATGTGTTTCTTTCGAAGCATATCTATATTGATGAATGAGAAACAGTGGCAAAAGGGATCGTATACTATGTAAACTAATATAAACGATTAGCGTATTAGTTTATAATATTATATATTTAGACATTGGAAGGGTTCTGACACTACAATCAGCCATTTACACATATACTCGTTTTTGAAAGGCTCTTTCTCTCTCTTTTTTAATCTACAAATATATTTTTTATAAACTTTGAATTAAATAGTAGTGAATACAAACCAAGATTACCTCTTTCTACAATTAGAAAATAAATTATTATCTCTTTTATACCATAGACTATTCATTTATACATATTGCAGACCCTTCTAGTGCTAATAATACATATAACGGAAGTGGTTAAAGATTTAATACAATGTGATGTTTTATTAATAAAAATTCCCTATTAAAAAATTATAAATATTTATACAGACACGTGTTTTATACTTTCTTTTTTTACATTTCTACATGCATGCGTATATAAAAGTGCGACTTACTTAATACGTTGCGTCGTGCGTAATGAAAACATTTCATCTATTATTGTGTAATGAAAATATTTTGTTTACTTTATAATCTTTTTTCCTAATGCTAAGATAATCCTTATCGTAATATATATATATTATCAATATTGTTTCTTACCTCTCTTTCTCATTATCTTACTTTTCCTAATCATCTGTTCTGATCAGATAATAAATAATGATTCTCCACGATATTTCTATATAATTAAAAGATTGCATATTTTTTTCTAGAATTCTATAAAAACTTTTCACGCATTTATAGCAATCGGACAATACTAGATTCTTCAAAATTCGCGCTTTAATCACATTCCTCTCTTTTCTCAAGGAGACCGCTTATCGTTGATATACTTTTCTTGGAAGCTCCCGGTTCAAAAGCTTTCGATATCGTCTACTTGTATCGAGATCTCCCGATCGGTTTGAATGATTACCCAACTGCCGTTGGCATTCAAATTGTGGATGTTGATGCTCTTTGACGATAAAACATTTACGATATTGGCGAGATCTTGCACTCTGTTAGCGCGATATAAGCAAATATAATCGCTGAATGCGATACCGTTCGCGAAAACAGCATCGTCTAGAGCAAGCAGCAGCAATTGATTGTCACGCACAGTCCCTGTAATATGACAATCAATAACGTCAGTAATGTAATGTTTAGCTGTGTGGATATAGTGTTATATATATATATATATATATATAGACACATACTTTATCCTCAAACCCTGTATTACAGGCATGGAAAGAAGAATTAGACTTAGAAAAAGATATAATTATTTAATAGACACATACTTTATGTATACTTTATTCGCGACTTTAATTTTATAGATAATAGCATAATACATAATACGCAATTAGTGAAATTTGTAATCCATGAAAATTTGGAAAATTTCTATTGGAGTTTTACTGGAGTTTTAAATAAAACTTGTCAGGAGTTTATTTTTAATTCGCAATAATATAAAAACAAAAATAAAAGATTTCTAATGATGTTTTTGAATGAAAATGTTAAGTTGCAAGTTTTTTATATATTTTCAAATATTCATATTTTTTAAATTTAATCGTCTAAACTATATCAAGAACTCTAAAATTCTTTGGAGAAGAGGATCAAAATCGAAATCTTTCGATTATCGATTCAATCGATAATTTGAATCGATGATCAATTCGATTCGCTTCAAAATTGTGAAAAATGTTTCGTTTCTATATTTGATATTACCTTTGATGATATGTTCCCCAACTTTCACAATAACCGCTTTGTTGTCGTCCTCGACGTGGTTCTCTTGCAACCTTATGCCGACATCTTGCGCCAGAGTAGGCGCGTTAATCAGATTTAGGCCATTCTTCGTTTGACCGGTCAATATACCGACCAGAACGGCTTTGTGTATAAATTGTTTGTCTTGCATACCACTCCCTACAGTCTGGCTGTGAACGATCGTGTTTAGTTTGCCTTTGAGGAAGCGAGCGGCCAATTGACCCAATTTCTTGGACAATTCGATCCAAGGTTCATTCTCGTTCATCATGGCGGCAGATAAGACCGGAGCGTTTACGATACCGGTGACGGCATATTCCGCCGATTTTCCGGACAAACCCAGGAATTGTTGAGCAATCTCCACCGCCACTCGTTGCTGAGCCTCGGCTGTACTGGCACCTATAATGTATAAAAAATAATTAATTACTTTTATAATTTCTAGAATCGAAGCGTAATAAGAATATAGAACAGCACAGCAAATGTTAATTTATTTTATCAAATTTCATTAAAACAACAGGATATAAAGAAAAATTAAAGACATCGAAAATGACAAAATATGGAAACATTCGCATGACATAAGTGAAATAAAATACCAAGGTGAGGTGTCGGCACGACTTTTGGATGTTTAATGAGTTCTAAGGTGATCGGATTCTTCGGTGGCTCCTCCACGAAGACGTCTAAAGCTGCTCCGCCACAATGGCCGAGCTTTAATGAATTCAAGAGAGCCTCTTCATCAACGATGCCACCACGTGCGACATTAACGACGTACACTCCTTTCTTGCATTTCGCCAAGGTTGTCGCATTGATCAAATTTCTTGTTTGAGGTATTAGAGGCGTGTGAACGGTGATATAGTCAGCGACGGGCCATATCTCCTCCAAGTCGAGCAACCTGATACCAAGCTCTGCGGCAACCTCGGGCTTCACAATTGGATCGAACGCGACAATGTTCATGCCAAAACTCTGCATTCTGTAGGCTACCTCGCGGCCTATGCGGCCCATTCCGAGAATCGCGAGAGTCTTTCCGAATAATTCGTATCCCGAATAGAGTTTCCGATCCCATCGGCCCTCCTTCAGTGATTGCACAGCCTGCGCGACATTACGTGCGAGCGAAGAGATCAGAGCGCACGTTAGCTCGCAAGCGCTGATACTGTTGCCGCCCGGGGTGCTGTAATTGTCAAAACAAATAATGCAATTATATAATAATTGACACAGCTGCCATTTGTAGGCTCAATCAAATTAATTGTTATATTTGTATTTTCTTTAATTACTTGCTCTAAATATTTTTCGTGTTGCTTGAGACTTACCGGAATATAACTCAAGTCTGATTAATTAAATATGATAATTAGTTTAAATATTAATCAAGTAAGTGATATAATAAAAGAAATTTTTTGATACTGTTTGATGAATTTTAGCGATCTCCCATTATATTTCATAAATTATTTTAAAAACGTTTTTAAAAAACTTTTACAAGAAAAGATAGAAAATAGTTTTCTCGGCGAAAACAATGTACTGATTGCAGCATTTTACATTCTTCATTTATATTGCAATCTATATTTAAAATATAAAAGTGTCTCGCTTGAAATTGACATAAACAGAATGTTTTTTTAAAATTGCTTCGTAATTAATATAGAATTATTCTGCTCATATTTATTTTTTCTGTTATATTGTGGACAAGATAGAAGAGTATGAGATCATGTACGTACTTTAACACAATTACTCCTTTACGTGTGGCAGCTTGAAGATCTATGTTGTCGACGCCGGTACCAGCTCGTCCGACTACGCGGAGATTTGGACAAGCGGCAAAAACATCCGCCGTAACTTTGGTCTCAGATCGAACGATAAGGGCATCGTGATTCTGTTCGACAGAGAGAAAGATCATATATGTATATAGATTTTATCTATATCTCTCAAACAGAGAGTAAGAGTGTAATTAAAAAGTATAAAGAAAGATATATATATAATTCTTTTTCGTGGAATTATAGTTGTATGATATAAAACGCATTTATGTATGTGTTTGAAAAGAAGAGTTTGCAGAAAGAAATTAAATTAATGATTTTTATAATATATTAACATTTTTTATATATAATTTATTTATGATTATATATACATATAATTAAATAATATGATTCGATCCATTCTATTCTTATTGCTTAGAAAGATCACTGTTGCGAATTTTTGCAAACTGGTTATTGAATTTGCGCAAAGTCAAGAGAAATGTATTCTACGTCTAATCAATTTAGGCTTCATTATAATTATCCGCAAGAGATAACGCATACGAGATAACATAGGCGCCTATATCGCAATTATTTTTTTTTTTTTTTTTTGTATTGCTATGCCCATTAAACTCGTGAATTACATGAAATGGAATATACAAAAACAAAGTGCCGAAACGACATTACGTAGCATACATGTACATGTATGTTTAAGAAATATTTTATATACCTACTATATATTTATATAATACAAATAGATATTTGTAAATATATTAATTTATAAACGTGTTATTAATAGATGGAAAATTCATACAGCTTCACGAATTAAATTCCTATGGATTCTTTCTAAATGACCTATTTTATTAGAAAATTTTCTTTTTCTCTCTTGAATTATATAATAAGTGAAATTAAATCTAGAGAAGAATTTTCTCTTACGTTGTATCCAATAAGTCGCGATTGCGGATATGATTGATTTATTCCAATTGCACTCATGCATTAATTTTTAAAATTTTCTGTGGTAAGAGTGGAAGGAGCGAAACTAAATCCAACAGATCTATTGAGAAATGTGAATGGAGACGGGATAGAAGAAATCTCCTTGTACGGGCGCCTATGTGTGCGGACATGCGGCACAAACCGGTGGTACAACGACCCGTCACAGAGCTAACCGGTATCCGTGCCGGCCCATGCCGGCCGACTCAACTGGATTTAACCGGATCGCTGACTCGAATGCAAGCAATTAAGACGAGAAAGAATAAATGGAGACGGAGAGAAACCGGAGGAACGATAGAGTCGGAAAAGGGAGAGGAAAAGAGAGAGCGAGACACGTCCGATATGCGCTCCCTGCATACATAATTACTCTATAACGTTGCATTAAATCGAGAATGTCTCGCTTTAAGATATATTGGAACATTTGATGCCTAGAGATTTGTCCGATTTAAGAATGATATAAACATTTCACACGTGATTATTTTTAGTTCAAATAGACTATCTATAATTTATGAAATTCAGATTTCAGGAAAAATATGCTTAATACATTTTAAAAAGCACAAACTGTTTATATGTGCGAAATTATAATTGTGGTTGAATACTCAGAATTTTTTTTTGGTCTTACTTTGTATAATTTGGACAGTTTGTTTCGCAGATTGTAATAATAGAAATGTGCAAAAACAAAAGAGATCATTTTGAACTTATTTCTTTTCTCTGTAAGATACAAAACATCTGATAAAATTAAAATTGTATTATTTTGTATATATTTTGGGATATGACTATATTCACAAACAAATAAATAAATAATTATTTGTGTAATTAAAGTGTCAATACATACTACATATTTTACTTTACACAATTATTTAAAAAAAGCAGCAAAATATTTCGTCAACTTTATTTTATATTTGTTTATAGTACAAGATAACTGTTTGTTTGAAGTAAATAAAATTCTATCTCTCTGTGTGACCTTAATTGGCTTATCAAGATTTTTACGTAACGAATATAGAAAAAATAGTACTTGATTGGTAAAATCGGTTTAGTGCTTTTCAAACGAAAAAAAGCCTATCTGTATCTCTGATAAAATATATTTTTAATTTCAGTTACACACTTTTCTATCCACGTTTTTCGTCAAAACATATGTTTAGATATTCGCAGTCGAATAATAAGAGAAAGAAAGGGCTTATTTGTGTCTTATAAAAAAAACTCACGTTTAAAAAATACATATTTTTATACTCACAGAAATTTTTTTTAATAATCTGAACTATATTTTTTCTGCATAGCTTCTTGATAGTGATTCATTATCATAATTGAATTTATCTCTTACACGTGAGTTCTAACATAATCTAATCTTGTCGAAAATTTGATCTTCTCATCTGACACATAATATTTCTCGATTGATAGATTATGTATCGATAACAATTTGTGATTGCAATCATTAATAGTCCTATTCTCAAAGAGGTAAAACTTAAAGGTAAATTACACGATCTCTGTAATTAAAATTTCGTTATCTCTATAATGTAATACTAAAATTATCAATATATTTTTTGATTACTTCACAACTTTATAATAAAAAGCTTTACGGTAGTCAAAGTTTTTGAAAGATTTGTCTTTTCATAGTTTAATTAATGCAATGAAAAATAATGAATTACGTTTATAGCTGTTATTTCATTCCATTTTATTTTTAGTGAATTTCATGCACAAAATTGAAATCTATCAATATGGAAAACTTTGTACAATGCAAATATTGCTCGAGGATGGGTGTATAAATATAACAATATATTTTTTCTGAAACGCACGAAATATTCCTTCAATTGTCACAATCCTCCAATTGTTCAATAGTTGTGAATCAAAAATAATAATTGTATAAGAATTTAAAAGACCAATATAGCTTGTAATTCCATAAATACTGTTGAAATAAATCTTTAAAATCAATTTACAATAAGCGTCGGTATACAAAAAAGGTATAAGAATCAATACTTTGAGAATAATTGGTCGTTTTGCAATTTAAATATAAAAAGAATTATCTTTAAAAATTTAGGATTAAAATGTTATAAAAAATTAAAAAATTTATCACAATAAAAGGATCAAAATAGCTTTTCAAGTAAATGCCTTTTAATTCAGAAAGAGAGAAAAAAAGAAGGAAAGAAATCGTTTTATTTTTACAATAGATCTTTCATATCGGATATTGTGGAAAAAAAATGCATGACTTTGTGTTTTTTTCATATACGTATAACTCCTATCGAATTTAGTTCAAAGCATAGAATAGAAACTATTCGCTATTTTCCTAATTTTTGTCACATTGCCTACCTGTAGCTCATTGATTAGTTCATCTTGCGATAGCTTATGTTTCGTGGTAACCGGAATGCCGTGTTCCGTTAATAGTGCGCCACAAGATTTGTCCACGGGATCACTTATCAAGACGCTTCTGAAGTTGACCGACATGTTATCCTTGAACAAAAAAGTCTTTGAATAGCGTGTTTACGTTCAAACAACATCCATATTCATCGATTTATAGCTAGAGATATTAGATACAATAATAAAACACCATGACTTGTGAAAAAGCAACATTGATAGAAATAACAGAACATAAAAAGAGAACATTGCTAATCAATAAAAGTTATATAAGCGAGATGTATATTTTTTTTTTAATTTGATCGGACGTGACTACAGAAATTTTTTTTCCAACTAATGTGTATTCTATTCAAATAGGCAAATCCAAACGGCAGTTTTAAAAAGGTCAAGACCCGGAGATTTTTGCAAGATCTAAATTTTATATTACATGTTGTTTTGCAAATATATCATGATGCCATATGAGATAAGATCTTTCGCATCCTTGGAAAATTTGACGTTGCACGATGTGCTGTGCAACGTGCGCTTTCGCGATAATATAAAGTAACCGAGGATAGCAACAAGTGTCAGATTTTGAAAGTTTTCCAAGCCGAAGCGGTTCTATCTTGATGCGGAGGGCGCATACGAGATATGATAGATATTTGAATTTAAATGCAGAACCTACCTCTCGTAGCGTACCTCTTTTTGGGTGAAAAATTCGTAACGCCGTAAATGATACTTTTCGAAGAGCAAGACACGGAAGAATGAACTCGTGACTGATATTCTGCGTACACGGTACTCTAACCGTAAACTGAGTCGTTCTACTGTGATTTATCTTCTTATAGCGGAATTCCCCCACTCTGACGATAAATGCGCGAGTAAATTGTTGACAGACAACCTTGGTCGTCTCTCTTCTCCCGGCTCTAGTCCGTTCGCCGACGAAAACTGCTCAATGTACATATTCGATGTCACGAATGTCTTGTTTAAATAGGCATTTTTCAGAACAAATGTGTGTAGATAATTATTATGAGAGAGAATGTTCGTAATTTCCTCTATTAATCTCGCACTTATCCATGAACTTCATTTCTTTTCATTTTTAATAATTATCAGTAACTTTGATAAAACAGTAGAAAAATGACATTTCGATGACAAGAAATTATTTAAATTATATGATTCACTCTTCTCTGTAACACATTCTTTATGTATATACTATATACATACATGCACACATATATATATATACTATATATATGTATGTGATATAAAAATGTATATCTCGTTTATATAATTTTTACTGATTAGCGAGAGATGTCCTCTCTTCTTACTGTAAAAATGAATGATATGCTAGCGCCGATAATTGCAGCATTAGCAACTTTAATATTATTTCTGGTAATGTTGCTTTATTAAGCTCGATATTATATTACGAAACTATGTTCATCATTTAATAGCGATTAATTACGCATCACGCACTTAATAACGATAAACTACGCGCTACTCTCACTACAATTAATATAAATATAACATACACATGTTATATATATATATATATATATATATATATATAACATGTGTATATTTTATTCGCTTTTTCCTTCAATTTTAGAAATGGGATTGATTTTGCAAATAAATGAGCGAATGAGGACTTTATTCACCGATATCCGATATATATTTTTTCTGTTTAATATAGAAACTTAATATTCAATGTAAAATAATTTATTGTTGTAGAAATTTTCTTTCCACAAGCAATATTGACGCTGCGAATATATACAAATATATATATATTTTTTTTTCTTTCATTATTATTGTGTAAAAAGAATTGTGTGTTGAGAATTATCGGAGCGTGCAATGCGAAAATGATGCAATTGCTGTTGGGGGTCCGATTCAGCAATAAATAATCGTATTACAGCGAGATATCTCGTGATTCTGCGTTGGTGCAACCATCACGTGCTTTTTCTGTCTCTTTTTCTCTCCCTCTTTTCTTCTTGTGCAAACAACTCGATTCTCGCTCTTTCTCTTTAAAGTTGATAACACGATTGCCACACGATGATAATGTGGATCCCCCGCTTTTGACTTGTAAAATATAAAATTTTAAAATATTGATCGTATTTTAGTAAGTGATGTTAGGATTTAAATGAGCAACATTCTCCTCATGCAAGTTGAGCATCTGAACAATAATTAAAAAACTTTTTAAATGGCATACAATGAATTTTTCAGATTTTGCAGCTATACGCCTCATATAAATCAATAAAGCGCAGAGATCAATTTTTCTAAGTTTTCGTATGTATTGTTTTTGTGCGTGTCGCATGTCAATCAAAATATAAGGCAAAACACACTACATTATTACAAACAGCGATATAGACGAGCGTCACCAAGTGACGAGAAATTATCTCTGTAGACTCTCTTCTGGTACCCCCAGCGGACTGAATTATCTTATCAGCATGGAAAATAACTTTGTCAGAAAACGGTTCGTCTTCACGATGATGTGACAATGAGTCGTGCGGTTCGATTCGAAAACATTATTTACACACTTTTCCACCCAGTTTCTCGGATATAATAGCAATTCTTGATTCCTCTAAAAATATAGGTCGTTATCCGACTTCGTATATACTGGAAAGGCGATCGGCTCGTTTTAACTGGATCGAACAGCGATCAATCTAGTTTTGTATAATTATGTCTTCAATAAATCAACCGCTTTCATTTCAGATTCGCCGATTATTTTAATTATATTCGCAAACTCTTTCGAATTCAAAAAGTTCCGTGATTTTCTTAGAACTTTATACATATTTACGCACAATTTCACGGAATATAAAAGAAAGAGAGAGGGAGAGGACGAAAAAGAGAATGATTAAAAAAGTAATTTGATATCCAAGTAAAAAAAATGTCTGAGAACAATAAATTTTAAATCAAAAACTGACCAGTTTTTACTATTTTAAATTTGCTGTGCAATAACTGCTCCAACAATTGGGTAAAAAATTTTGTTTAGATAAAACTCTGTTTAAATGGTCAGCTACTAATTAGTATATGGATAATTTTATTTTGTAATGAATGGTACTATTAAAAAAAATACATTTTCTAGATAAGAAAACAAAATTAGAAACTAATTAGGTTAAACAAATTACTGAATGATAGCTTACGCCTAATGACAACTTAGAATCTTTTGGTTATTATTTTTTGACCAGATATAAAAAATACAGTAATTATATTTGTATTTCTCCAGTAATTATATTTATAACTCTTTTTGCTTCCTCATAGAGGAAGCTTTGTTTTTGTGACAAAATTTTTTTTCGAGTTTTCTATGCCAATGTGTTTAGAATGTTCCAAAACGTCGGAAACTCACAAAGCTTTCTCTATGAGGAAGCAAAAATTGAAAAATCCGCATGCTTAAAGCAGCTTAAGCATTGTAAGATAAAATGATGAGGAAGCAATGTGCAAGTTTCTAATTTGCACAACTCTACTTGTTTTACTTTTTTTAAGAGAGAGAGAAAGAGAGTTTATAATAAAAAAAGCGAATGTACGGCAAAAATATTAAATTTATAAAAGTTTTGATAACCTGACTTTTATATTGTTAGATATACAATTTCTTATAAGGTAAATAAATAAACTGTGAAATAAATGTGGTATTTATCAATAAAGAAAAGCCGAAGAAACCTGACAAAATCAATACGAGCATTTTAAAAATAATTAGAAAAAAATTATAAATGCTATAAATAAGAATAAAGGAAAAGTATATGTGTGTAGAAATATTTCACTCTTACGAGAGTGAATCAAAAAGAGTAAATATCATACGAAGACAGATACTTTATGATTAACTCGATATGTTAGAAATCGGCTTTTGGTTTGAGAACATTATTCGGTTTATACTCGGCTATAAATATGTTTTGCCTGCACTTCTTACTACGAGTTGATCGTACATGCGATATCATCTTACCTCATCGTTCGCAATTTCCGGACGTTCCTCAGGGGAGATATTTCTCGTCCTGTTCAGAAATCCTGGTTCCTTCTCTTTTCACGATCATGGCAAGAGGCTGATATAGTTATCGAGTTTTCCATATTATGAAACACTCTAACTTGTTTTCCAAGTACCATTTAAATTCTGAGAATCTTCAGTGGATGATTGATATTACTGTGCTGCATCTTGGAAAACTAGTATTAATGTCACAAGTATTAATGTCATTGTAAAATATCGAACTGTATTCAAATCGTATATTCGACTGTATAGAAAATGTCTTGAAATATATAAGTACATATTCTTAATAATTAATACAAATATATATATTGGATGATTGCATAAGTTCGTGCCCGATTTTCATAGATGGCATTAAGTTACTGCAT